AAAAAATAATCATATGGACAAGGTCAGAATCAATGTGAGAGGGGATGCCTGGAGACTCCCATGTTTCATTGGGCATAACCTTTTACCACAATTGATATGACCTTGGTTAAATCATTTTTTTCACACCTATTCAGTAGAGTTTATGATATCCAGTCTCAGGCTTGTTGTATAAATTAAATGAAATAGTATAATCATATAGTACCTAGTATATATGATAAAAGTTGTTTGGGGGTGTGGGGAGGTTTAAGATACCAAAAGTAATTGGGTGGCAAGTGGTATTATCTACCATTATTCATTTCCTACTGTATGCACTGACCTAAATAGTAGGGTTACAAATAGGCACAGTTCTTATCTTAGAGAAATGATATTTTGAATATAAGTTAATTAAGCCCAAATTAGGTTTACAGATTTTGTCATTGTCGAACAGTTTCATAAACTCAACCATGGTATGACATTTGGATACACATACGTTCAGTTTTACCTTAAAGTTGGTTAATTGACAATGTTAATATTACCAAGGTTATATATCTTAAAAGATCTGACTTTTTAAAACATCATTTTAAAAAGCTCTATCTTTTTACAAGTTTTAAAAATGATTTGGTCAAGCAGTATCTGGAATGCCATCAAGTTTCAGAGAGCTATGCTCTGCAGAATTTTAATCAATTGGCAGATCATCAAAATATACTTGAAAACACTGGAAAGTTCTGCTTTTAAATAGTTGTTAAAATATAAACAGTTGGAACTCTGAAGGAAGGCTAGCATAGTTTATTCTGGAACTGCGATCTGAGTTTGCAAATACCATGTTCTTTAATTGTTTGGCAAAGTACTGACAAAAATAAATCTTATGAAAACTAGATTACTTAGATTTGAGAAAATAGAATATGCTAATCTCTCTCACTCGTGTGTGTGTGTGTGTGTGTGTGTGTGTACATGTGTCTTTTTCTCCCTCTCTTTCTTTGTATTTTCTTTGCTTCTCTGCTTTAGCAGTTAAATTACCTACATTTATAATTTCCAAAAAGAGGTCTGTTAGTTTACTCATTTTTAAAAAACATTTCATTGCCTGTGTTAGTTTAAAATACATACTAGAATGATGCTGAGACTACTGACTATCCACATGCAAAAGAATGAAGCTCGACCCTGACCTCACACCGTATACAAAAATAAACTCAACTCAGAATGATCAAATACCCAAATGAAACAGTTAAAGCTATAAAACTGTTATAAGAAACATGGGGATTAATCTTTGTGACCGTGGATTGATTAATTCATTAATATGACACCAAAAACCCAAGCTACAAAAGAAAATAAATAAATAAATTGGACTAATCAAAATTTTAACTTTTATGCTTACTGTTAAGTGAAAGACAACCCACGGAATGGGGGAAAATATTTACAAATCATTGCAGATGGTGACTGCAGCCATGAAATTAAAAGATGCTTGCTTCTTAGAAGAAAAACTATGACACACCTAGACAGCATATTAAAAAGCAGGGAAAAAAAAGCAGAGAGACATTACTTGGCCAACAAAGTTCCGTCTAGTCAAAGCTATGGTTTTTCCAGTAGTCATGTATGGACATGAGAGCTGGACCATAAAGAAAGCTGAATGCCAAAGAGTTAAGGCTTTTGAACTGTGGTGTTGGAGAAGACACTGGAGCGTCCTTTGGACTGCAAGGAAATCAAACCAGTCCATCCTAAAGGAAATCAGTCCTGAGTATTCATCGGAAGGACTGATGTTGAAGCTGAAGCTCCAGTACTTTGGTCACTTGATGCGAGGAATTGACTCATTGGAAAAGACCCTGATGCTGGGAAAGATTGAAGGCAGGAGAAGGGGATGACAGAGGATGAGATGGTTGGATGGCATCACCAACTGGATGGACATGAGTTTGAGTGAGCTCCAGGAGTTGGTGATGGACAGGGAGGCCTGGTGTGCTGCAGTCCGTGGGGTCGCAGAGAGTTGGACACGCTGAGCGATTGAACTGACCTGATTTGCAAATAAGATATCTAATAAGGGACTCTTTATCTAAAATACATCAAAAGGCTTACAATAAAAAGACAAAGGCAAAAAAAAAAAAAAGACAAAGGCACAATAAAAACTGTAAAAAGACAACCCAGTTTAAAATGGACAAAAGTTCTGAATAGACATTTCTCCAAAGAAGATATACAGATGATTAACAAGCACATGAAAAAATGCTTGACATCGTTAGTCATCAGGGAACAAATCAAAACCAGAGTGAAATGCCACTTCACACCCACTAGGACGGCTAGAATCAAAACTGGCAAACATTAGCAAGTGTTGCCAGGATGTGAAGAAATGGTAACCATCATACCCTGCTGGTGTGGTTGTTAAATGAGGTAGTGGCTTTGAAAAACAATTTCCCCAAATGGCCAAACATACCGTTTCTTTATGACTAAGTCCAGTCCTAGGTATAGATCCACAAGAAATGAAAAAATATGTCTAAAGGAAAACTTGTACACTGATGTATAAGTTGTATACAAATGTTTATAGCAACATTTTCATATTAGCTGAAAAGTTGAAACAACCCATCAACTGACAAATGGATAAACAAAATGTGTTATATCCATGCACTATCCATGAAAGGGAATGAAATACTAATACATGTTAGAACATAGATGGACTTTAGAAACATTATGCGAAGTAAGAGAAGCCAGACAGGAAATATTGTATGGTTCTATTTATACTAAATGTTGAGAACAGGCAAATCTAAAACCCGGGTTGGGAAGATCCCGTGAAGATGGGAAAGGCAACCCACTCCAGTATTCTGGCCTGGAGAATTCCGTGAACTGTGCACTCTATGGGGTCACAAAGAGTCACACACGACTGAATGACTTTCACTTTCTTTCATAGAGAAAGACAGTAGATTAGTGGTTCCAGAGGCTACAGCGAATAAGGGGTAGGGGAGCAATAGCTAAAGGACATGGCAGGGGTCGGGGGAGGTTTGGAGGTGATTAAAGTGTTCTAAAATTGTGTTGACAGTGCTGTATTTAAAATGGATAACCAACAAGGATCTACTGTATAGCACTAGCACAAGGAACTCTGCTCAATGTTATGTAACAACCTAAATGGGATAGCAATTTGAAAAAGAATAGATACATGTATATGTATAGCTGAATCACTTTGCTGTATACCTGAAACTGTCACATTGTTAAATAACTATACTCCAATTTAAAATAAAAAGTTAAAAAAGAAATAAAAGTTATGACAATTGTATGTATCTGTGAATATGCTGTAAATCAAGTGTATTATGTAATTTAAATGAGTAAATTATATGTGCACTTTATCTCAATAAAGTTGTTACTAAGAAAAAAATTATTAGAAGAAACAGATTTTTGCAAGTCTATTTACCAAGTAGTGTGCCACAAGCCATAATCTTTAATTACTTTATTTTAAGGTCTATGTGATATCCAAAACCACTGAATTCTGTACTTTAAAGTGACTAATATGGTTAATCTTATGTAATATGAATTTTTATCTTTTTTTTTTTGGCAGCTCCATGTGGCATATAGAATCTTAGTTTCCCACCCAGGGATCAAACTTGTGCCCCTGCAGTGGAAGGGGGAATCTTAACCTCTGGAGTGCCAGGGAAGTCCCTTTATCTCACTGTGCAAATCTTAGGAATACAAAATAAATTTAGCAATGAGAGCTCAGTGAAAGAAGTCAGAGTTCAGATCCTTTTTGATACCAACTCCCTCAGCAGAGAGTCCAGAGAGTGATCAAAATTGTATACTAGAAGGGCTCAGTGAGCACACTTGTTTGTCTGAGAGTCCCACAGAAGGCCGTCCAGTGAAGGTCCTCAAAATTATCTCAATGGAGCCTTCAGATGTTGAGGAAGACAACACCACTCTTAATACGAAGAACAGTGAGGCTGAGTTTACTACTTGCTAAAGCAAAAAAAAAATGATATTTACAAAATATAATCTCTCTGACAAAGTAGAACTGATGCAAAGGGTTTTGAGAAGTGAGGGTTTCAGGGACTGGCAGATTTTCAAAACTGGGAATGTACTACAGACTTGCTCACTTAACTGGTGTGTAGAGATAGGACTTGCCTAGAAATGGGTAGGGAAGGAGGTCTATTCTTCCCTAGACGGTAAAGAATTCGCCTGCAATGCAGAAGACCTGGGTTTGATCCCTGGGTTGGGAAGATCCCCTGGAGGAGGGCCTGGCAGCCCACTCCAGTATTCTTGCCTGGAAAATCCCCATAAACAGAGGAGCCTGGCGGACTACAGTCCGTGGGGTCTCAGAGTCGGGCACAACTGAGTGACTAAGCACTAGCACAGAGAGTGGTGCACTGTGGGAAGCAGGAGTGGAAGCTTGAGTGCTGATGCTTACTGGAGTGGGGCTGTGGTTGCCTGGCCACCTTGCAGAAGCAAGGGGCTGTCATTGATTGACTGACTTAGAGGCATGGCTATTGGGCAAAGCAGTTACTGTTTGGGACAGGTTTGAACTAATTCTATGATTACTTGCTTATGGCTTGGAACAAGAGCCAGAGAACAGGCAATGTTTCCTTTTCTTGAATTTGGAGCATAGAAACTTCTTTTATTCTCAACATCTCCTGTTTCTGATAGCTGCATTAGAATCTAATTTAAAATCTTTACTCAGTAGGCAGTCAGGAATCATGGGTATTTTTAAGCAGAGAAGTAACTGATGAGATCGTTCATAGACTTGTAAAAGGTGGATTATAGAGGAGAAGAGAAAGTCCAGGAAATGAGTTAGAAGACTTGAAAATGCTAAACTTTAGAATGTTCTGAGGCGTAGCCTTACTAACAGGAGAGGAAAGCAGACTTTATGTTGCATTAACGTCTTCCTTTTCCTTCCCTCTTACCACTCTCTCTCTCATCAAGTGAAAAATTAACATCTATGCCAAGGAGGAATTGCTAGTGAATATCAAAATTGTCCTAATTACTCAATCAGGAATAACTTAAAAGCAATTAATTTGACAAAAGAATGCTTTGCTTTCTGACCATTTTCTTGGTTTTCTTAGATAATTAAGTTGAAAGCTGAAGCCCGACTGGACCTACTAAAGCAGATTGGTGTTTCTGTCGACACATGGCTAAAGAGTGCAATGAACCAAGTGATGGAAGAACTGGAAAATGAACGATGGGCCCGCCTTCCTGCAGTGACTAATAATGGAGCCTTACACTCGGTACAGTTTCTCTTGAATATGATGGGCTAACTTCACTAAAGGATGCTTTTCTATGACTGTGTAACCAAACTTGATGATAGCCAAAATTTCAAAGAAAAAGTAATGGATTTTCTAATGGTTTGGGGTTTTTTCCTTTAGTCTATCACTAATTGAGTTAAACTTAGTGCAGGAAAGAAAGAGAGAAGAAAAAAATAGTACTTTTTAAAAGTACATTATCCCATTCATAAAAGTAGGTATATTTCTTATTCAGAGGTAGCAGAATAAAAATTTTAGTCTAATCTTTCCAAAGTTTTCAGAGGTCTTCTTCAGTGTAAATGAAAATAAACATCCAGAGCGTTGTAAACAGTGTTGAAGAAGGGAAAGGAACACAGTCTGTGACTTAGTCTGTTCAGTTCACAAGGACTGTCACACTCTGCTCACAGTTTCTTTCTTTCATCAGGGAGACAGTGCTACAGGTATAGGTTTATGAATAAGGCCAGAACTCACGCTTAAGTTTTCTTACTCAGATTCAGAGTGTTCTCCACTCTGATGTCATCCAATTCAACCATAGTTTTTCATCCTGGAAATCTGAGTATCAGAAAAGTTCAGTGATTTGCCTGGTAATACATAGGTGGATATATAATGCCTTGCTGGTCAAACTGTTTTTTGCTGCTATCCCCCTACCCATTATTCTCTCTCATCCAGTGTATTTCCATATGGCATTTATTACAATCTGTATTTGTCTTGTTTTATTTTACTTATCATCTGTCTTCTTCCCTGAAATGTAATTTCTATGCCTACCTGGTTCACTGTTCTGCACAGCAAAGTGTCTGGTACATATCAGTACTCAGTAAATGTCTGTTGAGGGACAAAGTGAATGAATCAATAGATAAATGGAATAGTGTGTTTCTCAGTCAAACTCTTTGCAACCCCCTAGACTGTAGCCTGCCAGGCTTCTCTGTCTATGGAACTTTGCAAGCAAGAATATTGGAGTGGGTTGCCATTTCTTACTCCAGGGCATCTTCCCAACTCAGGGATCAAACCTATGTCTCTTGTGTCTCCTGCATTGGCAGGTGGATTCCTTACTTCTGCACCACCTGGGAATCCCAGATGGCATAGTAGCAAACTAATTCTCTAATCTCCTGACTTTCCACCATATCCATAGTGCCTCTTCAATATTTGTGCCCTTCAGATAAAAGGAATCGAGCTAGAGAAAGTGGCCATAGTTCAAGAACATTCTTGGAAGTTTTGTCAGTTTTTTCACATGGCATTCTGACTTTCTAATGAGAATAGACTTGTGCATTTAAAAAAGATTGTGAGTGCATGTGCATTCTAAGGAAAAGCAATCTACTGAAGGTTTATTTTTATTTCACTATTAATGGTAATCCAGCTGGGGAAAATAAGTATGTATCACCTATTTGACTTTGGGGTTAGAAGAACTACCCTGTTTCCAATACAACAAATTTGCTCTATTGCATGGAATGTCTCTTCCCATTGCATCTTTTAAAAGCCACAACTTCCATCTAATTCACGTTATTCTGTTTAACAAAATTCTTACGATGATAGCAAATTCCAGATACATTCTTGCTTTTGGCTTCTTCAACAGTACTTACTATTGGCAACCTATCAACCCCATGATTTTCCTCAGACTAGCATCTTTTCTAACTCTATCAACTGGGCATGCACTTTTCCCTATGTGCCCACTTCCTGGGCAAATTGGAGATGAACAAGACTTGGTGTTTTTCCTCAAAAAGCTTACAAACTGGTAGAGCAAGCAGACATCTATGAATCTTAATGCTACATGGAAGTGTATGACTGAACTATTGTATAGCAAACTTGAAATTGATTAACTCCTAACTCCTCAGCACATATTGGAAAAAGTCTCTGGATTTCCGAAATTCTAAGATACCCTCCAGCTCCAAAATCTCATGATTTTGTAAAATTGTACCAGAAAAACTTATACCTCATTTTATTGCATTTCACTTTATTGCACTCACCAACAGTTGCATTGTTTAACAGATTAAAGGTTTCCTTTTTCATTTTACATTTGTTGTGGTTATCTGTGATCAGCGATCTGGGATGTTACCACTGTAACATTCTGGAGCACCACAAATCCCACCTGTTAATTGATAAATGTTTGTGTGTTCTGACTGCTTCCCTGACTAGCCATTCCTCTGTCTCTCTTCGTCTCTTCTGGCCTCCCTATTCCCAGAGATGCAGCCGTATTGAAATTAGGCTGATTAATAATCTATAGAGTGGTCAGGTGAAAGGGAGAGTTGCACATCTTTCAGTCTGAATCAAAAGCTAGAAATGATTAAGCTTAATGAGAAAGGCCCATCAAAAGCCAACATAGGCCAAAAGCTAGACCTCTTGAGCCAAACGTTTGGCCATCTCATGGATACAAATGAAAGGTTCTTAAGGGAAATGGAAAGTACTGCTCCAGTAAATATGTGAATGATAAGAAAGAAAAAAAGCTTTATTGCTGGTTGCAAGGAAGTTTTAGTGGTCTGGATAGATGATCAAACCAGCCACAACATTCCATTAAGCCAAACTTAATCCAGAGCAAGGCCCTAACTGTTTTCATTTCTATGAAAGCTGAAAGAAGTAAGGAAGCTGCAGAAGAAAAGTTGGAAGCTAGCAGAGGTTGGTTCATGAAGTTTAAGGAAAGAAACTGTCTTTGTAACATTATAGTGCAAGGTGAAGCAAAAGTGCTGATGTGGAAGCTACAGCAGGTTATCCAAAAGATCTCGCTCAGATCATTAATGAAGGTAGTCACACTGAAAAATAGATTTTCAATGTAGACAAAATAGCTTTGCCGTGGGAAAAGATGTCATCTAGGACTTAGATAGAGAGAAGGCAATGCCTGGCTTCAAAGCTTCAAAGCACAGGCTGACTGTTTTGTTAGGGGCTAAGGAAGCTGGTGACTTTAAGTTGAAGCCAGTGCTTATTTACCGTTCTGAAAATTCTAGGGACTTTAAGAATTATACTAAATCTACTTTGCTATGCTCTGTAAATGGAACAAAGCCTGGATGACAGTGTATCACTTTACAACATGACTTTATGGATATTTTACACCCTACTAAACTAAACTACATCTTAGTTTAAGATCTACTACACAGTCTTCCCTGGTGGCTCAGGGGTAAAGAACCTGCCCTGCCAGTGCAGGAGACAGGGGTTTGATCCTTAGCTCGGGAAGATGCCACATGCCGCAGAGCAACTAAGCCCATGAGCCACAACTGCTGAGCCCATGTGCTGCTGCTACTGAAGCCTGCACCCTGGAGCCTGTGCTCTGCAATGAGAGAAGCCACCGCAATGCAAAGCCCTCTCACTGCAGCTGGAGAGCAGCCACTGCTTGCCACAACTAGAGAAAAGCCCATGCAGCAACAAAGACCCAGCACAGCCAAAAAACATAAATAAATTAAAAAAAAAATTTTTTAAAGATCTACTACTCAGAAAAAAAGATTCCTTTGCTAATATTACTGTTCATTGGCAATGCACTTGGTCACCCAAGAGCTCTGATGGAGATGTACAATGAGATTCATGTTGTTTTCATGCCTGCTAATACAATATCCCTTTGGTAGCCCATGGATCAAGGAATAATTTTGATGTTCAAGTCTAATGACTTAAAATATACATCTTGTAAATCTGTGGTTGCCTTAGATAGTGATTCTTCTGATGACTCTAGACAGAGTAAGTTGAAAACCTTTTGGAAAGGATTCACCATTCTAGATGCCACTTAGAACACTCATGATTCATGGGAAGAGGTCAAAATATCAATATAAACAGGACTTCGGAAGAAGTTGATTCCAACCCTTGTGGATGACTTTGAGGGATTCAAGAATTCAATGGAGGAAGTAATGCTAGAGTAGTAGTAATAGCAAGAGATCTGGAATTAGAAGTGGAGCCTCAAGATGTGACTGATTGCTGCAATCATGTAATAAAAATTTAATGGATTAAGAGTTACTTCTTATGTATGAGCAAAGAAAGTGGTTTCTTCAGATGGAATCTACTCCTGGTGAAGATGTTGTGAAGATTGCTGATGTAACAACAAAAGGTTTAGACTATGACATGAACTTAGTTGATAAATGAGGGTTTAAGAGGATCGCCTCCAGTTTTGAAAGAAGTTTTACTGTGGGTAAAATACTATCAAATAGCTTTGCACGCTACCGAGAAATAGTTCGAGAGAGGAAGAGTCAATCAATGCCACAAACTTCAGCGTTGTCCCATTTTAAGAAATTGACATGGACACCCCAGCTTTCAGCAGCCACCACCTTGATCAGTCAGCATCCATCAACATCAAAGCAAGACCTTTTTACCAGCAAAAAAATTATGACTCACTGAAGACTCAAATGATAGCATTTTTTGGCTATAAAGTATTTAATTAAGGTATATAAATTTTTTAGACATATAGTATCGCATGCTTAATAACTACACTATAAACATAGATTTATGTGCACAGAGATTAAACCAGTCAATCCTAAAGGAAATCAGTCCTGAATATTCATTGGAAGGACTGATGCTGAAGATGAAGCTCCAGTACTTTGGTCACCTGATGCACAGAACTGACTCATTGGAAAAGACCCTGATGCTGGGAAAGATTGAAGGCAAGAGGAGAAGTAGACAACAGAGGATGAGTTGGTTGGATGGCATCACCAACTGGATGGACATGAGTTTGAGTGAGCTCCAGGAGTTGGTGATGGACAGGGAAGCCTGATGTTCTGCTGTCCATGGGGTCACAAAAAGTCAGACATGACTAAGCGACTGAACTGAACTGACTTTATTGTGGTGGTCTGAAACCAAACCCACAATATCTCCAAAGGTATGCTTATTATACCAGCTAGAAAAATGGGAGAGAAGGAAATGTCCTCATGAAGGAAATGTCATTTGGGATTGGCTTTAAAGAAATTTAACAAGAGATAAAGGAAAGCATCTGAGTATGAAGGAAGGAAATGAAGATGTCCCTGGTATAGTGTCTGGCAGTGAGTAGTACAGACTGGTTGTAAGTGTTGAATAAATTGGGT